CCCCCCCCCCCCCCCCCCCCCCCACTGACTTAGCTTAAGGCGAATCAGAGACCGGGTCTTTCTGCTAAAGCGTCAGCCCTACGTGCATCTGTTTCCACATACAGAACCTTTGCAGTTCATCCAAAAAAGAAGTCCTGTAGGAGAGCACCACAGAGGATGCAGCAGTGCCCTGCCTGGCTTCAGACCCTTTGCGGAAAACGAATGGAGTATTCCCTAGAGGATATGCATAGACAAATCCAGCTCTTCTGCTTGCTTCCAGAATCCAGGAAAACAAAATCAAAGGGTAAGGCTGAGTCATTAATACTCAGCCTGAGGCTTACAGCCAACTAAAGGTATTGCTTGAGGTACTCACCAGTCTGGCTAAGAACGGAGCATTTATGTCCTATATATTCAGCCACCAGCCTGGATAGAAATCATTCACTAGAAATCATTCAGTGTAAGCTCTTGAACAGGGACAAAGCTCTCCCACTCTCTTCTATGCTCTTGTAACAGTACCCATTTTGTTGCCTTTTTAAAGAACAAGATAAAGGCACTCTCATAAATAACTAATTCCTAATCTTGTGCTCAAATTCAGTGCTTCAGACAGAACTTAAGTATTTTGAAAATGCAGTTCCCTCTCTGAGGAAGCATTTGGAAAAAAGTCTTACTGCCTACACAGCTCATCCCCCAGGTCTAACAATGGTTTTGTCTACAAGAACCCAGTAAGTTTTGTTCCCATTTGATGCAGACTGCAAGTATTTGTTTCTTGCAATGATTTCTGGAATATTGACTCTGTCAGTATAGTTTATGGAACTAAAGCAGTATTTCAAGTAAAGCATTTTTTAATACTAGAAAATAAGAACCACCTCCTTTTCCACCTACACGCTATATTTACATATACCACAAGGAAGCCAATATTTTGATACACTGAATATTTATTGTCTTTCACAAGACAAAATGAAGGTTCCCCTGCCAATGAAAAGCCATCAAGATGACGGTTAAGGGGACAGGCTGCAAAATTCCAGTGTACAGTATACGCAACAAGTGACCACCCTGACTACCCCGGAAGAAAGATGATTGATCTCACTGCAACTAAAAATAAAACAAAACAGGATTACAAAATATTTACAGAAAGGAACAGTACAGAAAATAAAAACTGGACAACCACGTGTGTATGAAATTCTGCTAACGCTTTTCTGGCTCCTTAAAAATTGGCTCCACTACCCTCACCAGAGCATTCAGGATGTGAAAGGATTAAGGAAGAGCAAAGTCAGCCCCAACTCCTATGCCCCCTCCACAGAGCACCATCACCTCCTCCAAGGAACTGGGAGGACTCAAGGGAAGCAGAGTTGCCTTACTGACTGTAATTCCATTGCTCCAAGTGGACACGCTAGCTCTGAAAGGAAATACTTGGCTGCACCTCACCTGCAGCAGTCTCTACTCAGAGCATACTGGCAAGTTAACCCACGGGTAGTAGGGAACCTTTCCCTGTCATGCGAGCCCTTTCATTGCTTGCAGAAAGACCTCTCCTTCTTCCTCTGTGGTGGCCTGATCTGTGCTCAGAGGGCAGGAAAGCTGATTGGGACAGGTCAGAGAAGACCTTCCATTTCCTTCATGAAGGCTTCATACACATCATCCTTTGTCTGTACAGAGATAGGGGCAGACGATCCAGCCTTAGGGGCAGCTTTGGTTAACGGGAGAGCAGGCTCATCATCCTGTTTTCTCTGAGAGGCAGCCAAAGCCCCTTTATTCTCCCTGCGCACTCGCAAGGCAGTGGGCACAAAGCGAGTGATTTCAGCCTTGGGGTTAGTGATCTGTGGCTTGGCACTGATAGTAGCCGTGGCCTTCTTCTCAATGGTGGCTGCACTGGTGTCATCCGCCTTGGGACGCTGAATCAAGCTGGGTGGGGCACTCAGAACACCAGGGTTTGGAAGAGGAGCTGGTGGGTAAAGCCCAGGCGGGGCAGGTCCTAATGGAGGCACCAGAGGTGGCCGCAGCATGCCTGGGCGAGGAGGAGGGATACCTGTAAAGAAGAAGAGAAAAGGTGAGCTGACTCTACCTGGGATTCCTAAAATCTCTGGACAAAAATAATGCACAGGCTCACAAAGCCAAAGATTGTCAACAAAGTGCAGAGCCGCTGGCTTTAGAGAAGGGGAAACAGGAACAAGTATTGCACCACTTGATAGCTCCCAACAAGAAGGTGGAAGGAAGCTGAATTAAGACAAGAAAACTGCTCAGCAGACTTGGGAAGCCACAAGAGCCCGTGTATTGCTCCCTTTCAATTTTCAAAGTTAAAATCTGAAAAGCTTCCTTAATGATTTATCCCACTGGAATTTCAAAATCAGAAGCACTAGCCAGCAAAACAAAAAAAAAAAAAAATCACAACACACTATCTCCTATACAGAAACAATGCAGCACACGTTTAAACACTGAAACTTTTTATTGTAAGTGCCAGATCTCTCACTACCAAAATATGCATAGCAGTATGGAATTATTTGTTATTATAAAGAAATGGTGTCAAGGAGCAAACCAGAAAGAACCTAAGGGCATACCTTTAGCTGCACATACAAGAACAAAGGCAAACTGGTAGTAGGGAACTATTTAAGGCCTGAAGGAATATCTGATACTCCAATTAGATATACTGCCTTGATCACCAAAACAAAGATTATACAGAACTGGGAAGACAAAGTAGGGAAAAAGCTGGCTCCAAAGCACAGCACTTTACCTGGTGGGGCAGGAGGTGGCAGGCGAGGAGGGGGTCCACGTGGAGGAGGGCCTGGGGGAAGACCGGGTGGGGGACCGGGGGGAGGGCCTGGGGGTCGCCCAGGCGGGGGACCTGGTGGTAGAAGTCGAGGTAAAGGCCCACGCAGTCCTGGTAAACCAGGAGGTCTCAGGAAAGGAGGAGCTCCTGAAAGCATACATGTAGGAGATCTTAGGTTCGTGGATACAAGAACAATCCCACCTGCTAATACTGAAGATTCTCAACAGGAACTTCAGAGGTGTTCTCATACTAGCCAGCTGCCTGATTAAACCAGATCTTCTAAGTTGTCTCAGGAAAAGGCAACAGTTGTAGAACCAAGAAAGCTTCTTGGTTATGTTCAAGTACAAATATTCTCTCCATCTTCGAGAAAGGCTTTTCCCCATGTATTGAAGCAACAATTGAGAACAGCTAATAAAGTATGGTTATCTGAACTTAAACAGCTAGAAATGAAAGTATTTTAGTCTCTTCAGGCTGTGATTCTGGCCTGAGAAGTACAAAGTAATTTCACTCTACTGAAAATAGCTGCTTTGAGGTTTGAGGTTCCCCTTCTAGGGGATGTCAGAAACAAAACTGGGGGAAGACGTTAAGAAAACCACAGACTGACCATGGAAGAAACCTCACAGGTCTCAGCAAACACCACACTGGGCTTCTGTACTTAATGAGTAACACACCCTGCAGCTTCATAACCCCGACACCAATAAACCATCTGTAATACTAAGAGCCTGCATTCTTCAAAACAAAACAAATCAAATATTCACCAGGTGGAGGGCCAGGAGGAAGGCCAGTAGGTGGCCCTGGGGGTCTCAGTGGAGGGGCTGGAGGTGGTCCTAGTGGAGGTGGCCCAGGCATAGGAGGTGCCTGTATTTGACCCGAAGCAACGGCCTGTGAAGACTGCTGCTGCTGAGTTGAGGCTGCAGTAGATGACCCAGTCTCTGCAAGAGCTTCCTCACTGTGTTGCTGTTGTTGCTGCTGCTGTTGTGATGTGTCTTCAGACTCTGAGTCATCTTCCTCCTCTTCTTCTTCTTCTGAGTATTCCTCCACTTCTCTCCCTTCTTCTGGGATTTCCTGACCTGAAAGCAGACACATTTATAAATATCAGTCCACAAGTGTCAACTTTGTCAACATAAAACACTAAATAAGAATGAAAAGAAAAAAAAAAAAAGTTCACCTCAAAGGAAAGAAAACTGACGATATTAATACACACAAAATGCAAAGAAGTACTAGATAATTCTGCTTTCCTGGGGGCACTGAAACTTCTATTAATAAATCTGAACACCAGTTATTTGAGTTTGTGGGAGATAAAGCTTTTTTTTTTTTTTTATATTTAGCCCTCAAACTAGACATAATCACCACTTCTAAGAAACCCATCTTCTCCCAGCTTCCTTTCCTCTTCTTCCCCCCCCCCAAAAATACATGAGTGTCTTTGTGTCTATTTGAAATGAAAAATCTGGACTCCGTGGGTTAATACCTTTCTTCAAAAGGATATTTTTGGGAAGTATTAAACCTTGCAGATTACAGGCTGAGCACACTAGGCTAAAAATAATAATCTAAATTAAAACCAACCACATTTTACATTCTTAGTAGATTTTACAGTATGGCAGTAATGCATTTACTTCTATAAAATGGAATTGTGCAAATTAAGTTCACCAGGAAACCTGATCTGCA